CAATCCCAGGACCCTGAGATCATGACCTGAGCTGAAGGCAGAGGCTTAACCCACTGAGCCACCCAGGCGCCCCATGAGCAGGAATATTAATGAACAGAGGAGAAAATGCTCCTGGATATGCAGCTACAAGGAAGTGGACAGGTTTTAAGTGAATAATGTGAGACCAAGTGCTCTAGAATTTTCTAGTGAGAAGGGAGGCGTGGGTGAATCAAACCACCCGCTCTCTGAGACACATCATCTCATTTTTCCTCATTTTTAAATCCCATTCTACCATTCTGAAAATTTTGTCAGAAATCCACAGCCCTGTCTTGGTATCTTTCAGGACTGACACCATTGAAATTTACCAAATATTACCACTGATCACAGGTAGGACCTCTTGGTTTTAAGGATAAAGAAATGGAGGCTCAGATGGGCTCAAGGACTTGCTAAAATTATACAGCAAACATGTGAGGAAAGTGGAACTTGGAGCAGCTGAGTCTGGGGTCTCATGTGACTGTCACTTTGGTGCCAGGTTCTCATCTCACAGGTTTGGGGTTTTTTTCCAGATAAGAGGTTTAAGGTCTCTGATTTCTGACATGGTGGCCTCCTTCCTTTCTTCCTCCTTCCAGTTCCTGTCTCTGTGTCGTGGAGATCCACTCTCTCTCAGCCTCTCCTGTACCATCTTTCTTCCCCCTCTCCCTTTTGCTCTAAGCCCTGTCTCCTCTTCCCTCCTCTTTCTCTCTCTGTCTCTGGGTGTTGTTCGGTCTCCTCATGTCATCCTGACTCGAATGTCTCACTGGATACATGTACACACTTGTGTGTGTGTTTATATATGTGTGTGTGTGTCCATAAATTCGTGCATTTGACTCTGTCCCTCCCTCTTTCTTTTTTTCTCTTAGTCCATCACCCTGCCTCTCTTTCTCTCTCAACCATGCTTTATTTTTTTTGTTTTTGAAGATTTCATTTTTCAGTCATCTCTATACCCAACATGTGCTCAAACCCACAATCCCAAGATCAAGAGTCGTGTGCTCTACTGACAGAGCCATCCAGGCACCCCCAACCGCTCCTTATTTTAAAATAGGAATGTAGGGGCGTCTGGGTGGCTCAGTGGGTTAAAGCCTCTGTCTTCGACTCAGGTCATGGTCTCAGAGTCCTGGGATCGAGCCCCCATCGGGCTCTCTGCTCAGCGGGGAGCCTGCTTCCTCCTCTCTCTCCGCCTGCCTCTCTGCCTACTTGTGATCTCTCTCTCTGTCAAATAAATAAATAAAATCTTTAAAGAAATAAATAAAAGAGGAATGTATGTTGGAATAACTGGAGAGCTTTATTTAAGAATAGACTCCCAGGCTCCAACCTAGACCTACTGGCATTTGTAATTTTTTAACAGCTCTCTTGAGATATAATTGGATGCGTTTCCTGTCTGATGACAAGTTTGGAGACAGGCATACACCTGTGAAACCATCACAACAATCAAGGTAACAACAGGTCCATCACCTCCAAAAGCTCCCTCCCATCCCTTTGTTTGTGTTTGCTTTGTGTGCAAGAACACTCAACGTGAGACTTCCCTCTTAACAAACCGTTAAGTGCATAGTATAGTGTTGCTGGGTATGGACACTGCGTTAGTTAGAGACAGCACATGTCCAGAACATACTCATCTTGCGTGGCTGAAACCTTATACACACTGAACAACAACTTTAGAGACCTCATCTCTGCCTTGGAACCACCAATCGAAAGGGAGCCCCGAGCCCTCCTGTGGTGTCTTCCAGCACCATGCTCTCTCATACACACAGAGCGAGCTACCATCCTCTTGGCTAGGATGCCAACCGGGCTCTCTACTTCAAACGCCTTTCCTGGTACCATCCATTCCTGCTTAGAGTGGAACCTTCATGAGGACAAGGCTGGCTCTCTTTTCCTCAGGCTTCCCATATACCGAGAGATAACAGGGCTTGACGCACTGGTGGCGGCAACGGTGGGTGCCAATGTCACGTCTAAGGCAAAACAGGGCACAGTGGGGAAGGGGAGGCAGACAGCCTTCCCTGCAAAGTTTCCTGCCTCCTTCTGTGGTGAAGAATTTTCCTCAATTCTTCCCCTTCGGAGGTACAGAGGAAAAGACAGTGAACTGGCACTCGGCCAGCCCTTCACCCACTAGAACTTATTTAATCCCCCCAACAAGCCCTGTCAGGCAGACACTATGACCCCTTTCTTAGAGAAGAGGAAGTTAGGGACCAGGCTCACACAGCTGCTAAGGACTAAGCTATGAGCCAGAATGCCCGACCTCAGTTGCAGGACACCCTCCCATCCCCCAGACCAGGAGTGAGAAGATGGGTGCTCTGAGGTTCAGGTGAGAGTGGGGGAGCAGGGGTAGGTGTTTGCATTGTCTAGGACTGACTTGGCATTAATACCTAGCATACTCGAGGAATTCATGCAAATCATAAGAAAAAGGCAAAGAACCCAGTACAAACGTAGGCAAAGGGAACGAACAGGAGATGAATGCTGAATGGCTTATTTTGCAAAAGAGGAAGAAACACTCAATCGCATTAGTGTTCAGATAAACGCAAATTTAAGTAAAAGGGAGGAATCATCTGGTGTGAGTTAGACCGAAAGTTTGGTTTTGATCTTGTTATTTGGCTAAAATGTGTATTCAACTTTGATCTTTGGCCTGCCGGTCCAGTTGCCTCAGCCCATATCTTCCCTGGAATCCCCAACTGTTTGTTTGATCAATGACTTTTTTTTCCTTTTCATTTTTCCAAAGAAGACAGACAGATGGCCAACTGGATCGGTGATTTTTGTGATCACGTCGGCTGTTTTCATTGTTAATATGCACAGAATGCGTTTTAAAAGGCGAAACATCAGTAACACTAATGAGGCATGGTTTCAGATTCATTTTTCATGTTAATATATACATTTAAATATTAAATATTAGATATTAATATTAAATTAATATTAAATACTAAATTAAATATTAAATATTAGTATGCATTCTAGACATAAGGAGCAAACAAATCTTGTGTACTTTATATGTAGAGATTACAGCAGTGAGATGTCTAATCTGTTATGCAAGAGCAAAATGTGACCATAATCAATGTTACTGTTACAAAATAGCTTTGGGAGGGTCATTAATTTTGTATAAAAATTAGTTGTTAAAAACTTTCAGGGGCGCCTGGGTGGCTCAGTGGGTTAAAGCCTCTGCCTTCGGCTCAGGTCATGATCTCAGGGTCCTGGGATTGAGCCCCCCATGGGGCTCTCTGCTCAGCAGGGAGCCTGCTTCCTCCTCTCTCTCTGCCTGCCTCTCTGCCTACTTGTGATCTCTGTCTGTCAAATAAATAAATAAAATCTTAAATAAAAAAAAAAACCTTTCAAACAGGCATATAGAATAAGGGAATTTATTTACATGAAGATTAAGAAAGTTAGATTGTTAACTTTCAGAAGAACATTGTATCCCTTTAGGGTAAAATATTAGGATGATTTAAATGATTATAAACAAGGCAGAATAAGCAGAAAATAAGTGTTTATGTGTACGTAATTGCTCAGTACTCCACATTCATACTGTTAAACAAAATCTTTAGGAATCACATTTCTTCCCTATAGGCCACCTGTCTTCCAAAAAACCCTGTTTCAGAACCCTTTCAATAGTCTGAACATAAATTAAAAGCATAATGACAGTTTTGGCACTTTTGCTGGCAACCGTGTGCAATCATCTTTCTTTCTAGATATAATAAAAATACTGATTTTTAATGAGAGACCCTAATACATTTTGTTCTCATCAATCAAACCTCAAAGCATCAGATTTTACAAGACATTTTGAGAAAAACATTCTTTCAGGTCTATAGAGGCTAAAAATTTAGGCAAGTTTTTCTATTATTGTTGTAAATGGCTGACAAATTTTGGTAGTTGAAGATTTTTGAGATTTGCTCAGGCAAATCCTAGTTACAATGTTCTAGAAAATACATGATTCAGGGGGTGCCTTGCAGGCTCAGTCGGAAGAGTGTACAGCTCTTGATCTCAGAGTCGTGAGTTCGAGTCCTGCGTCAGGTGTAGAGATTACATAAATGAATAAATAAATAAAATAAAAACTTTAGAAAATGAATGATTCAAAAAGTTTTCCCTGAATTATATTTGTCTGTGCAGAAGTTTAGTGATAAATGAGATGTGTGGATTCTTAGCCCATTCAGCAACACTCAGACTCACAGAAATCACAGAAATTAAAAATAGCCAGCAAGATGTGCTCATGAGAAACTGTTTCCTTCATTCACACTCTGAGGGATTCTTGGATCTCACATGGCTAATAACAAGGAAAACGTGACTGAGGAAAAATTTACAGAGTGGGACATTGGTGACGTGCCTTGCTGTAGTGACTGACACGGAACAGGGATGGTAAAGGCAAACTTGAGTAGTTTAGCAATTGCAATTCTTTTTTTTTTTTAAGATTTTATTTATTTGAGATAGAGTGAGTGAGAGAGCACACAAGCCAGGGGTAGAGGGAGAGGGAGATCCAGGCTCTCCGCTGAGCAAGAAGCCCAATGTGGGGCTCGATCCCAGGACCCTGGGATCATGACCTGAGCCAAAGGCAGATGCTAAACCAATTGAGCCACCCCGGTGCTGCCCCTGGCTTGGCTTTCAAAGACCAGTAAGGTCCAGGACAGGGATTATCTGTACTGCTCATGGATCCTTGATGATTGTGGGAACAACTTAAAATTCCTCATTGTGACTCACCTAATCCTTGTGTATTTCTTTTCCTGCAATTCTTCCCATGCGAGGCAGGTGGTCTAGCTTTGGGGCAGAGAGGGGAGAGGGAAGGAGGAGGAGAAAGGGAGGATAAGGAGGAGAGGAGTGGAGAAAGGAGGGATAAGAAAAGCAGAAGAAGGAAGGGGAGCAGAGAAGGAGAAAGGGCATTAAGAGAAGGGAGGGGAGGGGCGAAGGAGGAGCCTGGGGGAAAGAGGGAGAGGAGGAGGGAGGAGACTGCGGTGTTGGCTATAAAGCCCTGAGGATGAGCAAGTCGACCAGCAGTTTCTGAGAGGAGCAGCATGGCCTTGCCGGTGGGGCTCCTGTTGCTCTGGGTCTGTGGATTTCACTGTGTGGTCTGTCCTGACTATGAGGGTGAGTTGTGATGTGACACTGTCGGGGGTGAGCATTGAAAAATCGAGTCTTGGGGAGCCTGGGTGGCTCCATGGGTTAAGCCTCCGTGTTCGCCTCAGGTCATGGTCTCAGGGTCCTAGGATCGAGCTCCGCATCGGGCTCTCTGCTTGGCGGGGAGCCTGCTTCCCTCTCTCTCTCTGCCTGCCTCTCTGCCTACTTGTGATCTCTGTCTGTCAAATAAATAAATAAAATCTTAAAAAAAATAAAAATACTAAAAACACACACACAAATATAAGAAGGTTTGACTAATAAAAATAAAAGAATCGGAATGCAAGTTGGACGATCCCACTGGCAGAGTCATGTTCCTTCATAACCGTGTGTCTCCCTTCTCCCCTACCATATTTTAAATGCTTTATTCGAGTCTTTGAAGATGGAACTGAGTTTTGTCAAGTCTGTTTTAGTCCTTTACCAAATCGTGTGGCCTTCAGTGATTGTGGATGACAATATAAGAAGGGAATTTCATCATAGAGGCATTTCCTGCACATCTGGTGGGGGGTCACGCAGACCCGGGAAAACAGTTATTTTGTGAAATTTTTTCCAAATGATGGTCTCGCAGGTCCTACGTGGAAGTATCCTCCAGGACACGTTTGCATTGAAAAGATAAATAGAACATAGTGTGGATAAACGTCTTTAAAAAAAAAAAAGAGAGAGGTTCTTAGTGTGGCTATGACCACTAATTTCTTATGTGTTAGAATATTCTTTTTGTGCTTATGGAACAATGATACTTTTGTCTCGGACATTGATTTTTTCATGAGATATCGCTTTTGGATGTATGTTAAAAAAAAAGAAAGAAAGAAAGAAAGAAAGAAAGAAAGAAAGAAAGAAAGAAAGAAAG